GAGAAAAGGGCGCGTTGCTTTTGGAATTCAGGGATGACAGGGAGTTTCCTGAGGTCATGACAATGTCACGGGTGTAGATCTGCTATTCTTCTCACTCGGACGTGGGGCTATAAAATTGTCTCTTTTGCTGATGGGATTATTAATTTATGCGGTAAATGGTCATGGGTATCACGGCACATCTGGTCCTCGAATGGTCTTCAGACAGAGGGAGTTTCTTCTCTCCTGGTGATTGAGTTAGGGTTTTAGCAGTTCCGATCCCCGGAGGGATAAGGACCAGGCCTTGACAGGAAGCTGGTCCAGACAATCGGGCGTCATGCGGATCATTAATTAGTTTTACGACCGCAGATGGCTGCGGAGGATAATCTTTAGTTTGTTTCTGTTGGAATGTGGTGGTTCCATGGCTCACGAGGTGGCCAAGGGTTTATTCGTGTCTGTTCAAGAAATCTTACATAAATAAAATTGAAAAAAAAAAAAAGTTATACAATTTTATACAACTTTTTTTTTTGTCAAAACTTGAACATTTGAACATGTTGTCACCCAACCATTATTTTTTGTTCATTTAAAATCTGTTGCTTTTTGACATAAAACTTGTTGAAATTATTTTAGTGTGTTTATCAGAAGTTTCTGAACATTTCCAGCATATTTTAACAGTACAGTGATACGTTGGCACCGATAGCCTGGTGGGCAGCGCGCCAACATATAGCGCCATTGCGCTTTGGCCGGTCCGAAATTTGAGTACTGGCTTGCGGTCCTTCCCCAATCATGTCCCCCTCCCCTCTCATCTTGTCAAAATTAACATTATCCATATTTCGTTTAATTTAATTTCCTACCGTATTGAAGGGAAATGAAGAGGCCGTTGATCTGCCAGTCGCGGGTCTATCATGCCGAGAACTCTGCTCATGTTTGCATAATGATGCATTTAAAAGTTAATGACCAAATGTATCATTATAAAGTTCACAGTGTTGCTGCAGATGAAATATAACGCGGATAACATTAAATAAATATTTTTTAAACAGGTTAGATATTGATTAGTTATCACGCTAACCCCTTTCTCTACCTGACTGTTGGTCTCGCATATCCGCCATGTTTGTAGTTTTTTAACACTTTTCATGTGTGTTTGTAGTTCTAATTGAATCCTCATCCACCGCGCAATGTGTTGTGGGCAATATTAGCCGTTAAAGCTGATTTATACTTCTGCATCGAAACCACGTCATAGGTTGTGCGTAGCACGCATAGCTCACGGCGCAGCCTGACGTACACCTCTCCAGAAATGTAACAACGCGTCAATTCTACGCGGACCGCAAGCGCTGTGATTGGTCTGCTAAAACCCTTCCCTCCATATGTATTTGAGTTTTGTGCGTATTTTTTGCACTTTAATATGCTTTAATGTTACACCTTATTTAAAATAAACAAAGCAAAGAACAAGTGTCTTATAATTATGCAACATATCATTATACATCACTTAGTTGTTCGCGACAAACAATGTTGTTCTGCCATGGAACAAGTCCTTGTGGAGACTGAAAGAGTGCCATCTTCTCCTGTTCCATTGTCGTCTCCTTTTTTGTAGTTTTAAATAAATGATCTGTTCTTGGATATTTATTTGCTGATGCTTCTCTGACAAGCTGCTTCTTCTTCGGCTTTTGCCTTGATACTTTTGGTTACACCAGCAACATGCCCATGGACACTGCAGACTAGCGGTCTGCATGTGTAATTGCACGTCGACGCATAAGTATAAATGAAAACTGACGCGTAGCCTATGGTGTGGAGGCAACGGCGTAGGTCAGACGCAGAAGTATAAATCAGCCTTTAGAGTGTGCATGGATCTGCACTTCGAATTTCTACCGGAAGCAGTAAACCATCCGGGTACCTTTGGAATACGAATTTCAACATACTACAGTTTGGGACATACTAATTCTAATTTCGAATACTATTTAGGACGGATAGTATGCTAATTGGGACACAGCACAAGTGATTTTTTTAGTGCTGGAAATCCATTTATCCTTTGCTGAAACTTCCACGTCGTCATGGAGAGCGCAGGTCACAGTTGCTGAGCAACAGCAGACGCCACGAGCGATTTGGAAAGAAGGAGAAAGCGGCGTTTTCCACACGTTTTTAGGCGCGACATGTGAACAGCCCTTAGGAGCTTGTTTTTTCCAGGCAGCAAGATTTTAGTATTTTTTTTAATTGAAATATTCACATTCAACATTTTACATAAGCCAGGGGGCGAAGACAAGGAAAGAAGGACATAAAATTATATTGCAATGATAAAAAAGAAAGAATTTTTTTTTTTAATTTAAAAATTAAATAAAAACCTGGAAATGTTTACATACATTAATACACTTAACAGCTTTCTTGTTTATCAGATTATAAATACATTTTAGGTATTGTTTAACTTCTGACTTCAAAATTAAAAATAATGGCTTATAATCACCATACTTGCATTTATGTGTACTGAACTTTACCGACAAAAGTAACAAATTAATCAAATACTATTCCTTATGGAATGACATGCTCCGTAGAAGGATGAAAACATCTCAACTTTTTAGAATGCCGCAAGCGCACCGCAGGTCATGTGACAAGAACCAACCAATCAGCTTCATCCTTTCCGTGACAACTAGGAATGGGCGATACCACTTATTTTGTTTTCAATACGATACCGATACTTTTAAAGGCCAGTATCGTCGATACTGATACTGATACGATACTTATAAACTGAACTTTTTCATTATGAAATGTATTAAATTATTAAAATACTAAGAGTAAAATGGGTAGTTATCCACTTAACTTTATATTTGAAACGCATTTTAACATTCAATATGCCTTAAATGCAACTCAAGTTATATTTTTGTTTACACATGGTTAAAATATGTTTACTGTAGTGGTAACCATGGAAATCTACAAATACTAATAGTTGAACTAAGGTTGCTTTAGTAAAACCATGGTTCATTTTCATTAGGGACTGCCAGTGACAGGCTGTTGCACGCATAAAATGCAACCTTTTTATTCTGACAGTGTATGATTTATACTAACATTACAGAATAGAACATGATTAATATGAACTTTTAACGTTCAATTAAAATAAATGTAATTGCACAAATGTAGGGCTATAATTTTTAGTTTATTTATTGTGAAATAACTCGAACATATGTTTTTCTGTCCTCTGATAAGAATTGTTCTGAACTGCATTTCACAAAAGCATCAATGCTTTCTTATGATTCTTTTGGGAAACGCAGCCCTGTTTGAATGCACTGTCAGCAGTGAGTGAATGCACTCTGTGATGGATTGGTTCTCTGTCTTGCAACATTTGCGTGTTCAGATGAGCAGGAAAATAGTTCTATCCTACACAGTTAATCGATAAATTAGGTTATTCGTCCAATTCAATGCATAATGTACGCATTAATTTTTTTGTTAAATAAACTAAATCACTGGTAAATAAAACACCTTAGTATCGATATTTTTTATTTGAGTATTGATACTTTCATTACTC